TGCTGGGACTCCCAGCAGCTTCTACTGAAGCCTTCCGAGTAAATCGCCAGAACGCCGACACCTCCTCATCTCCACCATGTTTTCTTTTGTGTTGCCATAAGTTAGTCTCTCTGCGTTTCTGCGGTGGGCTAATGCTAAGGCTTCACAAAACTTTTTTGGAGTTTTACGGTGCGTGATTTGCAATCCTCCCAGCCAATCAGAAATAGGAACCTTTTTCTCCCACGAAAGTCCCTGCTCTCTAGGACTGAAAAGGTTCTCATGAACTAATTTTAGTTCCGGCTCTTTTTGGTGTGAACGCGACATTTCGGAACTATATCGGAACTAAAGTGGGAATAGTACTGCGGTGTGAACGCGGCTCGGAAAAAAAGAAAACGTTTAAGGTACATGTAGATCTTAAGACAAGGCTCCTCTTTTGGAGATTGTGATACTATCATATTTATATACAGTATATTATAAGCCTATATTCCTGCTACAACTGCAGTATTTTTGACCTTTTTTAAAGAATATTTTAATTATCCAGAATTTTGTTTATTGTTTATATTTGATATACTATTTTTCTTTTAAATTACATTTTTAATTGTTAACGCTTTTCCACTTTTAAGTATTGTATTTTAATGTTGAGCACACTCGCCGATAGCAATTTTTTTCTCCCAATTTGGGATTAACAAAGTACCTACCTACCTACCTACCTACCTACCTAGTACCTACCTACCTACCTACGACAAGAGTTGACATACTTTTTAATTTGACTTTTCTTAATGATTATTTCCGTAAAGACGTTAAATAAACTTAGTATTAACAGGAAGACGACTGTGACTGAAGCTGACGTTCAAACAGAACTAAATGCAGATTGCTATTTTCTGTAATTTGAGTGCTTGTGTGGTTACAGTGTGGCTGAGAAATTGCAACCTAGCTCAGTGTTTGTGACACCTCATGTAGATAATAGAACCTTACCCACAATGCATCAGAATACAACTGCACAGTTTGTTTTTGTGTAACATGTCAGGGCTCGAAACCTTTGCATTTTTTTTTTTACTATATTTGTTGTCTTTCTCTCTCTGCACTTTCGCCACAGATAACCTAAGACATCCAAATTGGAAAGATGCACCACTTTTACAAACTAAGAGATCATAATTGTGTGATGAATGTTCTGTAGGATCTGTTGAGTTGCGTCTCTTAATGATTGCACCATCTTGACCTAAAACGAGTCCTAAGATATTTGACATATTTCAAATATTACGTCACATTTCTTGCTTTCTTTCCCAGCGCTGAAGCCAAGTTTGATCTTGCAATTCCACGAATGCGGCCAATTTTAGGCTTCCATAAATTAAGCACCAAACATTTTATGAGAAATAAACGAACTGACGTCCGTTCAGTACAAGTGTGATGCATTTCTAAAGAGGTTTTATTGGTAGTAATGTGCAGTACACCAAATATTTACAGTTAGTTAAGAGCCTTGGTTCAAGTGAAGCTGAGTGTTTTCCAGGCATGTGTGTGCATGTAAACTGTTGCCTAGACATAATTTCTCAATGCAATAAGCTCGCAGTTAAGACTTTAATGTCTTGTCACTATTAGTGTAGAGTCTTTGTGTAATTTGCTTATCTCTTAACGTCAGACACAGCTTATGTTTGCAGCAGTTTGCACAGAGTTTCAGGCTGAGAGCTCTGCTGTTCGTCAGTTGTCTCTGACACAGGAAGTGAGTGAGAGTGAGAGAGAATGTGTGTGTGTGTGTGTGTGTAGTTGCAGTGAAACAAGTGGCGGATGCATCTTCTCAAACGCTCACATTAGCTGCTGACGGCTGCTGTAAACACAGGAGGAATCACAGCCTGTTGGTGCTGAGCAGAGGTCTGACTCAGTGGAGAATATGTTTCAGTAATTGGATGCTAATAATTATTTTCAATATCATTCACTAAAGCTGTTAAATCAGACTCTTATTTTTGCACAAACGGTATATTTCAGGGCTTCCATCAGAGACTTGGGTAGCTGCTGAAGTGCAGATGTGGTTATGAAAAATGTAAATGATCCTGGCAATTTTCTACATATTGAACCCTTTTCTTATAACATATCCCAACTGCCTCTTAAATAAAGCAGTTGTTAAGAAGTGGCTGGATGTTGTCTGAGATATTTGATGTTACCACAACACTTATTAAATACATTGAATTGGTTCAATGTACACTTAGGAAATGGCCACAGAACAGATTTCCCTGCAATTATCCAAAATCCCATTAAACCATGCTATTCCCTTTTCTCAAGAAGCCAGTGAAATTCTAACTTCTGTGTCTTTGTGTCGACGCAGCCACTTGTGCCCAGTTTGATTTAAACACAAGCTATAAATGTTTTGGCATGTGACCCATTCAATCAAATCCATTATTTTTGGTGCTACTGACTGTGTGTGTATGTGTTTTTATCAGCACAAATTAATCTTCTCTTCATTGGGTTATTACAGAAATAACCGGCTTTCATGTTTAAGTGTATAGATGTGTATCAATCTCTCATGACGTTCACAAAGTTGGTCGTGTGTGTGTGTGTGTGTGTGTGGCAGCAGCGTTTCCTCCGTCAACTGCAGAAAACAATGACTCAACGAATCATTGAATGACTGATCCTCTCTCGTCGCTGAAACATTTACAAAAAACTGTTGTATAGTAATATCTCAGCCTTTCCTATTGTCCTTACTGCACCTCAAAGAGCTGGATTGATATTCCCTCTAAAAGATAATTGCTTTGTCTTTTTAACTAATGTATTTCTCTTTTTCTTTTCTCTTCACGTCTCATCGACCTGCCTCCTCCAAACCATGTCTACTCATGTCACTTTTCCGTCATCATGAAATCTGGACCGCTCTCCAACACAGCGGTAAGTTTTTCACTTATTAATTACCATAGATAAAAGCTGTAGTTATGTGAAAATCACAGGTCAGCAAAAGCCTTTTCATCAAGTTTCACACCTACAGCTCAAATGCACCTTTAACTTAGAAAAGGGGGTTAAATACAGATTGTGTAACATACCAAATACTTTCGCACTCGCATGACGAACTGGTAACACTAATGGAGACATTTCAGTGTTTCCCACAGAATTTTATTATGCCCCCCCCCGGCAAGAAGCGCCAAAGGCCCCTTAACCTATTCGGGTGGCCCATGCATCCACCCCCCCTCCATGCGAGTTCATGGCTACTGTAGACAATGTTCTTGTTGCTCTGTGTTGCGTTGTTAATGAGTGAAACACACCAGAGTTGAGGATCTGTGGGGTTTATTCTCCCTGGAGTAACTAAGGGCTAAGTGCCTTGCTCAAGGGCACACTAGTGGTGGTGTTCCAGGCGGGGTTTGAACTCACAACCTTCCGATCATCAGCCCACCTCACTATCCATTAGACCACCAAAGAAATATATATATATTATTATTATTTATTTATTTATTTATGAGATCCATTTGTGGCAAATAAATCAATGCATGGGAAACACTGCATTTATTTAACAATGATCGATGAGAAATCAGTGTTTTGTTTTTAGTCTTTTGACACCACAGTTGCTGAGATTTGAGCTAGCAAGTTAAACCACAATCTGGTCTCATGTTTCTAGTTTATTCTCATTGTATCTGTTTTATTTTTGCTCCTCAGCTACAGAAGAACCTGGAGGGTTATGTTGGCTTCGCAAATCTCCCCAACCAAGTCTACAGAAAATCAGTGAAGAGAGGCTTCGAGTTCACTCTCATGGTTGTTGGTGAGTAATCCTATATTTTATACACACACACACACACACACACACACACACACACACACACACACACACACACACACACACACACACACACACACACACACACACACACACACACACAGGTTACAGTTTCTTAATTCATGTTGTTGGTACATACAGTAGGTGTGTGTGTTACTTACTGTACATGTTTGTGTAGCAGTGTTGGGTTTCACACACATTTTTTAGCAGAGAGTGATAGCAGCTGTTTCCTCTCAGCGCATTAGAGATGGTTTCAAGTTTCAAGGCTTTTTTTATTGTCATTCGAACATAGCTAAAGTGAATGCCTGTGTGATGTCACTTCCTGTCGCCTGGCTTTCAGTGACTACCTGGGTGTTTCTCAATCGCGAGGATGCTGGCTTGGTAGTCGCGTACTTCCAAGTCACTTCCTTCGAAGCGAAGCAAGTATACTTCCAAGCCACGGCTTTGGAAAACGAAGAAGAATGGAACAGGCTAACCAGTGTGCCACTCTCTCTAACGGTTTCAACATAAAATGTACCGAAAATAAATACCTCACGATGTCTATCTAATTATGAACTTGCTTTACTTTCACGGAACACATTTTTGGTGATAACAAAGCAACATATTTACCAACACATGTTCTACGCCACTACACACTTACATTTAAATGTGTGCTGCGTCGGTTCAGCCATTCTCCGCAAGGGTTTTTGAAATTGGTCCGTGCGCAAAGCATTGTGGGGATTTTAAGGACGCAAAGTCTACACATGTGCAGCCTCAAAATTACCCCCAAACCAAGGACGTGGCCTCGGTGGAATTCCAAGTATGCTGGAGATTGGAACAGTCCTTCGGCGGCACAAGATGACGTAGCATCCTTGACATATTGGCTTGGAAGCCAGTATCCTCGAGATTGAGACACGGCCCCTGTCAGCAAGGCTATACATATAAACAAATATATACTGGGCTATAAGCAGGGTTTCTTTTCATAATATCACAACATTTCCTGCCTGACAGCCAGCTGAGTATTTAGTTTTGCGACACCTGGAAGATGTTTGACGTCATAAAAATATCATTATCTTTCCTAACATTTGGACCGTCTATGTTGTGATTTAATTATCTCTTTTTAATCTATGCACACATCTGTATCCTGTCCATCTTGAGAGAAGGATCCTCCCAAGTTTAAATTAGTGATATGGTGATATATATAAATAACATTTGATAGATCCAAACTAAATTATTCTTCATGGACTCTGGAATTATTTATCAAGACGTTTCCAAAATACACCCGTGCTTTACTCCAAGAACCTCACGACCATATTTATATAAACTCTAAGGATGTACCCAGGCTTTTATCTTTAGGGTTAGGCTTTCTAGTTTAAGTTGAGGTGGGAGGGCACTGGGAGTGTCTAGTTGTGTAACTGGCACACGCCCATTAGAAAGACAACAAGAAAAAAGTCTCCATTCCTGATGTGTTCATACTTTCCTGGGAGCGTGACAGCACCTTGGTTTCATGTGAAATTACATTTTAATGATGTAATGTTTAATAAAGTAGGCACTAAAAACACTTCCATTAGTACAAACTCATGTTTTTATATAGAAAATATCAACATAACATATTTAAAGGTTGTGATATGCAGAGGGCAATAAGATATGACCTGATAATGTCTTCCAGTCGCTTCAATTCGTACTTTATTAAGGGTTGATATACGTTCATACACACACACGTTCATATATAAATAAATACACACTTAGAAATTCCAGCTTCCATCAGATGACCTCCTCTCTTACCTCATTCTGTGGAGTTTCCCCCTGCTGTGCGCTCAGGAAAAAGGCTGTACTGTAGTAATTTAGTGTGTGTGTGTGTGTGTGTGTGTGTGTGTGTGTGTGTGTGTGTGTGTGTGTGTGTGTGTGTGTGTGTGTGTGTGTGTGTGTGTGAGCGGCACTGAAGCCAAACTTCCCCAGGCCGGTTATTCCCATAGACCTCTAAACAAACGAGACCATATTAATTAGAACCAAATAACAGTTTGTATAATGTGAGTATGTGTATGAATGTGGATGTGCGTGTTTGTATGTGTGTGAGTGTTGGCGTCTGTGTGTGTGTGTGTGGGCGTGTGTGTGTGTGTGTGTGTGTGCAAAGAGGAGATGAGGCCTCAGATAATGTGTGCTCTGCTTTAAATTCTCGGGGTGTTAAAAGCCCGTTATGGAAATGATGAAGAAGTGGAATTTCTCGTTATTTTAATGCTTGCTTTATTAGACATTACATCATTAAAATGACATTTCACATGAAACCAGGCCGAGCACACCCTCAGGAAAGAATGAAGATATTTTTTGTTTTTTTCTAATGGGCGTCTTCCACTTTCATAACTACACACTCCCAGTTCCCTCCCATCACATAGCTTCAACTAAAAAGAGCCCTCTGAGACCCTCTCTCTTGCAGCCTAATCACTCAATGTTCTTTCTAAATGCATTCAGAGCATTTACATAGCAGCTATGTTGAAATCTAAAGGAGTAATGTGGTTCTGGAGTAGAGGATTAAGTCACTCTGTCATTTAAGCAGGAATGCCAAACTTAAGCTTTTTAAATACGAGGATTCTTTGCATTTCTTCGTCATAAATGCTCGTTAGTGTGAAGTGTCTCTAATGTTCAAAAAGCTCTTCATTGTTCTCGCTCTGCCTGTGCTGCAGCACCTCTTTTCACCCTCTGTCTGAAACCAGAGCTGCTCTGATTGGTTAGCGGGCCGTCTCTGTGGTGATTGGTCAACCGTTTAGAGCAGGGAAGTCAAACTCAATCTCATCGCGGGCCACATTAGCATTATGGTTGCACTCAAAGGGCCGCTTGTAACTTTCAATCTCAATCTTTATTTATTTATATAGCACATTTAAAACCACCTCCGTTGACCAAAGCGCTGTACAGGGAACAAATATAAAATAACACAATAGGAGTAAAATAATAAAACAATAATTTAAAAACAAGATAAAAACCACAATAACTAGAAACATACAAATATCAAAAGGTTATGTTCAACTAGTATTAAAAGCCAGTGCAAAACTTTAAGGCTATATATAAATAAATCATATATATAATGTATCATATTACATTATTGCCTCTGGGTTGGATTATTATTGGATAGTAATAACTTCATAATTAACTACGTCTGAAAGCAGAAGTCTAGGGCAAATAATTTCAAGTCTCTTCAGTGAGCAAGTCACAAAATGAGATGCATTGTGGGACATGTAGTTTATGTACAACGTGCTTCTGTAAAGCGGGATTCAACCATGTAATACACATATTATATTCTTTGCAAGCTCTTGCGGGCCACATAAAATGAAGTTGAGGGCCGGATTTGGCCCCCGGGCCTTGAGTTTGACACCCCTGGTTTAGAGATGTCCCGTCCCTTAAAGGTAGGGTAGGTAATTTTGGAGAAACCAGCTCGAGTGCGCTAGAATTTGAAAATACACAGCCGATCTGCCCCTTCCTTACAGAGCCCCTCCTCCAACACACATGAACGCGCACATGACCAATGAGGGCACGAGATAAGTTTATGCACAGATGGAAGGCTGACAGGCAGGTAGGCCATCCAGTTACTTTAGCCGGCTCAGATGATTGGTCGTGCTTTTTACAGTACCACGGCTTCAACAGATGATGATTTTTTAATGTATTTCTTGTCAAAGCATTTAATGTATTCATTGCTATCGGGACGTTAAGAGCATTCCATGGAATATAACAAGTGTTTCTGAAGTGAATTACCTACCCCACCTTGAAGCTATGACGTACAATGTATTGAAGCGCTATCCAATAGGAGTGTTACCTAGTGATGTCACCATGTTCTGGATGTAAACAAAGGCAGTTCAATGAAGCAAAATAGACAACTGAGATAAAGTTGTTCATCCCTTGAATTTAGACGTTCATTCATCAAATCCTTTTTGCCAATTCCTATTTGGCTATCCTTGCATTAGAGTTAATTTGGTGTCTCATTTGGAAATATTTAGTTGTTTTAAACCCAGTGTATTGAAGGAGGGAGTTTCTTTATTTTATTGTCAAAGTGGACGTTTGTGCCAAATTGAAACTAGTCAGAATTTGGTCATCAAAGGTAAAAGAACACTGTGACGAAAAAACACATTTTTACCCATGACTCCATAACTTACACGCCAATTTTGACAATTTCTATTTGCTTTAAAGCATAAAGTGATGAGCTTTTGGACGGACATGGATGTTAACTTTAACTTCACTGATTTGCAGCGAGGAGGGAGTTCTAGTAGTGGAGGGGAAAGCGATTGTTGGCGGATGAGTGAAAGTGGGCCAGAGCCATTTGTTGGACAGTCAATATTTGCCAGCGATTCGCACACTGGCAGGAAGTGACCTTGATGTGAGCCGGAGCTCATTGTGTTTGGTCGACAGAGAGGTGAAAAAGCTCTGTTTTATCCCTTTTGGAAAGAATCCCGCTCACATAAACACGACAAGCTTTCAGGAGGAGGAAATCTGACATCTGGCTTTCAGAGCAGACCTGTCAGCAAGGCTCTACATATAAACACATTCAAACGGGGTAATAAGCAGAGTTCCTTTTCATAATATCAGAACATTTCCTGCCTGACCACCTGCTTTTTTTAGATGTTTTTACGTCAACCTGATTCCATCTTCTTTTTTCTTTTTTTTTAACACTTTATTTATTGTTTTTTCCCCACACAACACAATAACAGGAGAAAATACAGAGTACAAATGCAGTTGCTATATAAAAAACAAATACAAAAAGATGACATAATGATAACAACATAAAAAGACCGAATCCATCTCTTTTTAAAAAATAATATACTTCCAGTTTTCCGCCAGACCAGGCTGAGAGGGCGTCAGCGTGGGGGAGGGGGAGGGGGAGGGGTCACGTCGTGTCAAGTGACTTGAATTTTGAATTGCACCATCCCTTATCCTATCTCTTAACGTCTCCCCTCCTGGCACGGCCCTTGGAAGATGCTGTGTTTTGTTTTGTTCGTCACAGGAACACGCTTTGCTGGCAGCGAAA